CCCACACACACACACACCTGCTGATAGCTCTTTGGTTCTCTTTTTGTTGAAAAGGTTGAGACAAGATTCCCTCTATTTTGTTTCGTCATTGTTTGAGGTTGCTTAAGCATTTTGCAAAAGTTAGTCTCCTCTATAGCCACGAGGAAACTAAGTTGTAGGTTTGATATTCATAAGATGCCATCATGCTACAACTTTATTTTATGCTTAATTAAATGGTTGGTCATGCCTCTTGACTGCAACTTGGAATATTAGGAACAACATGAGTTGGTTTTAAACAATATATAGGTAGTTATGATAATTTAAGCGCATATGTAGATGATTTCAAATTTGAAGTTCTTATGAGGGAGGTGTTATTGGGCTCGTTTTTTTGCTTCCCTTTCTTATAAGGTACAGTAAACATTTTATTGTAAAACTGAATGTATATGTGTTGAAGCAAGAAATGCTTCCAATACCCTTCTTAAGTTCCCTTTATGGTTAGTCCATATCTCCTGAAACCTTTATGTCTATTAAGTATCTACTTCTGTCATTAAATAAAACTTTTTTATTCCAGGCATAAAATCATTAGAGCCGCAGCTGGAAGGAGCCACACAGTGGTAGTGACTGAAGATGGGCAGTCCTTTGCTTTTGGTTGGAATAAACATGGGCAGCTTGGCACAGGCTCTGCAAAAACTGGTGAGCACCTTTGTCTCCCTACTTTGCTCCTTCCCTCTCTGTTCGATACATACTTGTGAATTAGTTCGTGTAACATAAGATATGATGACTATATATCTTTCTTTCAACCTTGTGCATTTTTGCTTAATGCATTTCTCTGATGGATGCTTTTAGCTGCCTATCTTACAATAGGGGCCAATTGCTCTTTGGAATTTTATGTATTGAATCTATTCCTATTTTTTTTTTTCCTGACTGAAAAGCTGGTATATTTTAGTTACGAGAATGGTGAATGCGATTTTGTCATGCCTTAGAAAAAGCTAGTTAATACACTGTCTGTTAGATGAAGAATGCATGAAATGGTGGACACAATTGTTGAGAGCCATTTTATGCATGTTTTTCCAGTTCTTTATTGACTTAACAGGAAAATTATATGCTTAACAGGGTTTCCATTTAATCACCTTGTTGTTCTAGGAAACTGTCTTGTTGAGGTTGATTCTCATCACAACTGGTGCTGAACTATCTTAAGATAAGTAAGACTGATAATGTAAGTAGTAACAGTGTTTATCTTGACATATGAATTATTCGAGGGGTGGTTTGTGCCAATATCTTCTGCCAGAGCTCTTTGCTGTGTCCCACTTGAGGAATGAGTTGCATTTCTATAGTAGATTGTGTGAACTTCACTTGTAAAAGAGATGAGATTGATGAGAAGTTGAGAACGCTAGAAATTGTAACTAAAAAACTTATGACAGGTTTGTAAGCGACGAGTCCAATTTTTCAATGAAGAACTCAACAACTTAGAGATCTTTATTTCTTTTCTTTCAAAATGCATTTTCTGGAACATTGATCATGGACTTGAATCAAAAGTGAGGAGATGGAATCCATGCAGAGAGGCAGTTAAGATGAAAAGGTTGGGAACATGTCAAATTCAGTTACTTGATGACTGAGTGGAGTGAAGGGGAAAGTTGATAATGTAATCTATTATTCAATCTGGCTAGTGGCAATTTTACAAATTTTAGTATTGCATTTGATTCCTCTGGATGTTTTGGCAAGTAAAGGATTGGTGAACCTATATATCTGACCGACTTCTGTTTGGTTATAGATTCTGTTATGCTCAATTTTTCTTTTTGACGGTTAGGCTATAGTGATTTACAGAGGAATTACGTATGTGCATATCCTCGCTCAGCCATTATTGTACAGTTATTTGTGTCGATGTGAAGTTAATCTACTTTGCACTGGATGGAGGAGACATCTATGTCCATATTCCCAAGGGTACTAGGGATTTAACATCAGTGTGGCGTTTGATAATGACTAGCTGGGATGGCTTTCAAAAAAAAACTAGCTGAGATGGATTTGATATTTGTGTATGGTTCTGTGTGGTTTCGGTGATCTTCATTATGTTATTCTTCAATATTTTCATTCAGTTCCTTTAGTGTTTTGACTTGTATAGTAATTGATTAATTCTTTATTTCTTTGAGATGATGTTGAGGCCATCCTGAGGAATCCCACAAGTGGCTTTGTCTTCTCCACCCCCCCACCCAAATAAAGTTCTATCTGTCTACCTCTTTTTTACTATTAGCTAAAAGCATTTAAGAACTGCAAATTTTATGCATGATACTTTACATTTACAGTTTGATAATGTATTATTGAGAAGATCCATACATCTCTTTGGTAAAAAATATTTAAGCAGTAAAAGGAAAAGTAAGTACAGCTGATTGAAACATAATTTTGTAATAGACAGCAGAGCCTGCGAGAAGTACATGCATTTCTGCTGAAAATTTGTTCATTAAAATATTTAAGATCATATAATCTAGTTTAGAAAAGAACAACAATTCTATGATTATATAAGCCAGTGTGTAGGACCTTGTAAAAAAAGTTGGTGTAGGAAAGAACCAAAAACTTGCTTTACGCAACCCACTGTCTTTATTTCCTAGCATTATGAGTCTATTAATTTCTTCTGTCTTGGGTCAGTTTCCATTCTTGTATAGAATAATAAATTAAGATCATCACTTCTTTGTATTGTTGCAGAAATTGAATCATCTCCAGTCCTCTGTGCTGTCTCTGAAGTCAAAACTGCTACTTGTGGGGCTGACTTTACTGTGTGGCTAACCTCAGTTGAAGGAGCTTCTATATTGTATGGTTTGTAAAATTTTTATTTTCTACCACCTTGATAATGCTGTGTATGAATAGAAAATTTTTGTTGTGCCATTTTCAGCTCCGATTTTGCTTACTCTCTGATTCGCATGTTATTTCGTGGTTTCTAGAACTGCTGGTCTGCCTCAGTATGGTCAGCTTGGTCATGCTACTGACAATGAGGTATGGTTAGGAAATTCTCATTTGTTTTTACTTTATCTTCTGTGACATGGACAAACGCTTGCAGCATTTCCTTCTTACATACCGGAAGTTTATGTCTTCATCATGATGTATAACAAAATCTCGAATTGCAATATTTCCTTTAGCAGCAACAGTATGTCATCACAAGATGATCTGTTCAATGTAATTAATAATGATACAACTTTCTTGATACTTGTTCATAAATTGAAATCATAGTTAGCAGCTATTGCATGAGCATAGTTGTTATCTTCTCCACTTTATCCTGTATTTCTATCAAGGCCTTCTTGTCCATTGCAACTGGTTGAGCTTGTTCTTTATGTTAACAGGCAAATTGAAAATTTTGACCATCTGAGGTCTACTTTCTAAAAACTTACTTCCTTATTTCTCCTTTAGCCTTGTTCTCTTCTTGCTTTGGCACATGAAGTTAAGGAGATTGGTACACTAATCAGGCAAAATGTGTGAGGATGTGGAAGTCTATCGTGTGATATGTAATTATAGGAGCATAATTATTTGAACTACTTTATTTTTTGTTTATTTATTTGTCCTTTTTGTTCACTTGTATGACATGACGATGATAACCAGTCATGTTGATGTCGGTGCTTGTTTCCCAATCAAAGCACTTAAAAACATTCATGCCCCAACCTCTCATTAATTTTACCGACATGATTCTCACCAATTTGTACCATGTAGATGATAAGTTATGTGGATAGCACGTTTTCCACCGAATAATCAGCTCCTTCACAATGTAGTTCTTTTATACTTCATATCGGGCTTTTGTTTCTGTAATTGGGAAAACCATAGCCAATTTTCCCCCTTTCATGGCAAGAACTTGGGTCAGTCTAATAGCATGTTTGGCCAAGCTTCGAAAATTAGTTTATTTTGAAAAGTGCATTTTTCTATAAAGTGCTTTTTCAAAAAAGTACTTTTGGTGAAAAGCAGTTTGTGTTTGGCTAATCAATTTGAAAAGCGCTTTTGAGCAACAATTGTTTGGCCAAGCTTTTAGAAATTGCTTCTAAGTATAATTTTCTCAAAGGTGCTTTTCAAAAAAGTACTTTTGGGGAGAAGCTACTTTTTTCTGCTTCTCAAAAACTGCTCCTGCTTCTACTCAAAAGTACTTTTTTCCTTCCTAGAAGCTTGGCCAAACACCTCAACTTTGGAAAAAATCAAAAAGTGCTTTTGACCTTGGAGAAACTTGGCCAAACAGGCTATAAATGAGTTGGCCCGTGGTTAGTTGTGCCTTATCGCAACACATTATTCGAGACCGTGGAAGCTGATATTTTGATGTTTAAATTTGGAAGAGATTGTAATAAAAGCATTCACATAGTAGCATCTTTATGTTTGAATTTGGGACTTCTTGCTTTCTTTGAATTAATTAAGGGTGCCCTGTAACATGCAGTATAATACCAAAGATAGCTCGGTCAGGCTAGCCTATGAAGCTCAACCCCGACCTAGAGCTATAGCAGCTTTTTCCGGAGAGACTATAGTCAAAGTAGCTTGTGGAACAAATCACACCGGTTTGTCTCAACTTAAATTAAACAAATTTAGATATTGTCAGATATGCTAAGTGCCTTTACCTTCTCTTTTTCTGGATTTCAGTTGCAGTGGATAAGAATGGATATGTATACACGTAAGTCCTACCTTAGCTTGTTTGCTTTGACTTGACGATATGTACNCGTAAGTTCTACCTTAGCTTGTTTGCTTTGACTTGACAATATGTACAGAGACTGACTTACTCTTTCCTCTGTTTTGGCAAACAAATCCTAGGTGGGGATTTGGCGGTTATGGGAGGTTCGTTCATTCTATTTCATATTTTCCTATGTCTATGTAGTGGAGGTCCATTGCACCACCGTGTCTTTTCCGTGCTCTTTTTGGATCTTATAAGTATAAACAAAAAGATGTGCTTGATTTTGCTGATTGCAGGCTTGGTCATAGAGAACAGAAGGACGAGTGGGCTCCTCGACGAGTTGACGTGTTCACACGGCAGAATGTCTTGCCTCCAAATGCAGTGGTTTCAGCAGGTTCTCTAAACTCAGCATGCACTGCTGGTATGGTTTTACCACCTAACTTATTTTCACATGTAATCCGCACTTCAAGAACCAAAAATAACCCGACATTGAATGAAAAAAAGAAAAAGAAGCAGGGACAACAAGCAGTAACGACAGCAAGTCCTTGTTAATTCTTAATATGTTAAATTAATGTCTAAATTTTAAGTAATCAACTATGCTTTAATTCCAAATTAGTTAGGTTTTTTTTTCTTTTTTAAATTTGTATTCTGTGTGTCCATCCTAAATTAGTGGACAGGTTTTGTGAAGCTAACGTAGGTGGATTTAGTGGTTCTAAAGTTTTAGTAATCATTGGTATGACCAATAGTAAACATACAACCATGATCCCAAAATACTTGACCAGCCTTGATTGCGTGGAAATTAAAACTAAATTGATTGAAATATTTACTATTGTTAGTAAGTGGTTAAAATTATCATTGCGACATGTAGACAAGTGAAGGAAATAGTTGGTTTGAACAAGCATAGTTCTTAGTTTAAATTCTGGCGGCAGAGTTTGTCATACTAGGAATGCGGTTAATTTTTTCAGGACACAGTAGAAATAAAAGCAGGTTAAGTATCTTTTATAATGGAGTTGGGGGGTAATGCCTGTCTGAAATTTGCTCTGCAAGTAAAATCATTCTACACAAGATGTGATCAGGCCACTTTCTACTAATTGCAATATGGTGGGCCCATGAATAGCAATAAACATCTCTAACTTAAAACTTCTAATAATGTTTTCTTGTGCAGGAGGAGGACAGCTTTACATGTGGGGCAAAGTAAAGAACAGCGGGGATGATTGGATGTATCCTAAACCTCTTCTGGATTTGAGGTTTTATTCTTTATAACATTTGAATTTCCAATTTTTTATTTTGCTCATAATATTAGTAAAGATGACAGAATGAGCTGCTTGTCCGATGAATTCCATGTACTGGGTGAATTGTAATGTTTGTGATAACAGTACTGGGTCAAGTATAATTTTGTTCATGTTTTCTGGTTATATCTGCGATAACATCAATGAAGATGGAGTGAATCTTCTTTTCCTTTCGTCTTGTCGTTAGGGGTAATAGGGTGATTTCAATGCAAAGTCTTGGCAGAGTATCTTTGTAGTCTTGGTTGCTTCTCTGGATATCTTGTGTTCAAGTTACAATATCATTGTTCATGTTGGAAGATGTTTAAAGGCAACCACGCTTTAATGGATTGATATTTGTGCTATATTCTGTATTTCTAGTGGATGGAACCTGCGATGTATGGATTCTGGTAATATGCACCACTTTGTCGGTGCTGATTCCTCGTGCATTAGTTGGGGCCACGCACAATCAGGGGAGCTGGGTTATGGACCAACTGGACAAAAGTAGGTTTGATTCATATCTATTCTTTTTTTGGCTGAGTTATGTGCACTTACTCTTCATTTATTTCGTCCTTTTCTCAATAGATCTTCTGCAGTTCCTAAGAAGGTAGACATTTTAGATGGCATGCATGTTATCAGGTTAGTCTATTTCTGAAAAAAATGTTATCTTAGAAGATGGAACTTTACATGCTGAATCCTAGGGTCTCCCTTCTTGTAGTGTTGCTTGCGGATTTGCCCACTCCATGGTTGTGATTGACAAGACCAATGTTGAAGATCGACTTGATCAGGTAATATAACTGTTACAGTTAATGTTTTGCCTATATGCGTGTATCTCGATAATGAGTATTAATTTATATTGATAAATTTAGACCTTCCTATGACATGTCATTTTTGTTGTTGTTTGAGGGTGGGGGTGGGGATTATAAAGACATCTGGTTTCTTTTATTTGCTCGTGTAAGTTACCTAATTTCTTCCATTTATTCCTCACAGCTTGACGTATATGATGGCAAGGCTTCTGAGGAAGGTACAGCTCTTACCTTCATCTATCTCTTTATGTTCAGAGATTAAAAGTATGTGGATGAAAATTCTTTCTTATAGCTAGTTGTAGGGTTTTTGGGGGAAATATACTTTGCTTCTTCTTTGTGTTTGCTTCAAGTGCGATTGAATCAAGTATCCATGGAATTGCTAATTCCTTTAGGAGATGAAAGAAAAGGGAGTCTGTCAATGATGGTCAATTCATCTCCTTTGTCTTTGTTCCTCCCCCAACTCCAAACCCCACCCCCTAACAGTGGATATGTTTTGTGACCTTATTTGTTTTATCGATGCTATGCATGATAATGTTTCATTCTTGTAGGATTATACTGGGTTGTTGTTGTGCAGGATAATGTTTCATAATATATGCTATTTGCAAATGATCCAAAAATATGAAGCGCCTCTTACAGGATATGTATTTTAAGAGCAGTAGAAGTATGGAATATATGCAGTACAAGTTTAATAAAAATTTCAAGGAGAATAGCCTGATATATGAAAATTTAATGCATAAAATAAAATAAAATGGGTAAAATAGAGGAGGATAGCATAATTAGCGGAAGTCAAAGTGAATTAGATGCAGACAGGTTTTTGTGGTGCCTAGTGCAAGACAATTCAAATATTTAGGATCAGTTTTCTTGGAGAATATAACGATAGATGCATTAACAAATAAGTAGGATAGCTAAAATAAAGGACTGCAATGGGTTGCTAGACTAGTAATGTTATATGAGAGTGAATATAATGTCTGTAAGGCTTAAAATGTCCACGAGATGAATCTCGCAAAAAATGATAACATTGGATA